GAAAAATTGCTGCATTTCATTTAATGGAAGGTTGCACGTTTTTTGTAGGCTAAATTACGCAAACATATCTTGGGGAAAATACTGTTTTTGAACGCCACAAGAGGTCTGTTACCCACAATTTGACTATAAGTTAAATTCATAGGAGGCGTTTTTTACCCTCACTGTTAGAGAAGATAGGGTGAATACTACCTGTGAGAGCTTAAGGAAATGGTGTGCTGGCTTCGCTTCGCTTCGCTGATGTTTTCTTCCACATCACAATGATTCTATAGATTGGCAAAAATATATAAAAGTACAGAGAAAATTGCTTATGAATTTAATGTCTCCACTGTAGTGCATGAGGAATGACTAAAGTGGTAGCCACAGAGTTTATTTCCATAAAAGATATTACAAAAGAGTAGTATCTACTAATAAGCTGACTTTTTCGAGGGTGGCAGAGAACAAACTCGAAATCGTCGTGGACTGTAGGAAATAGAGGGACTCCCCTCCCCTATAACTTCTTTTTCAAGAACAGTTGACATATCAAACATTTAAAGATGAATGTATTGTCCGAGATAGTTACCAGCATTTAGAATTGATTGGAAATGTATTTGTTTACTGTCGGTAAGTAAAGAAAAGAGAAAATACAGCCTCTTCTGCAGCCGCATACTCTCTATGTAATCTTATTCTACGAGGCGCGCTGGTGCTTTTATTATTATTTGCAAATAATATTGGCAAGGCGTTTATTGTTGTGAAGGCCTTGAAATGTATGCTTGAACATGCATAACATTCGCTTTTCGCTTTGGGTGAATAAAAAGAAAAGTCTTGTTTTTGTTTTGGACAATTTTTGGATGAGTCAATAGTTTTCCATACGTTTGATAAGCAATTCCACCAGCAGTGAAGTTGACAATTGTGCACGTTTCACTTCTCAATATTCAACAAAACCTTAAAGAACGCACAAAAACGCGAACTAAAAGAAATGACTTCTTGCACACCTTTGAATTTTCGGTTCACAGTTCCCTTCGAATGTGTGAATAATCTGGATTTATAATGAATACAAAAATATTGAATCTTGTTTTTTTACTACAGAAATATCTACAATCTCATTTTCTAAAAATTTGTCTTCTGTGATAAACTACTCAAACATATTGTGTAACATAAAAAAAGAATACACATTTTTTACATACTCTACATATTTCAGAAGAAATATGCAAGAAACATTGTATTTATGTTCGTAACACTTCCGTTATGTTGATGCTTACTGTCAAATTTATGGATTATAAGTCTTACGAGCAGGAGATGTACCCACTTCAAAAACACTGTGGACTAAAGCATGTTGAACTGCTCTATTTGAGAAAATAGTTAGAAGAAGAGGAGGATGGAGTCGGAATTTGAGAAGGGAGTCTCAAATGAGGTCTTGTGACACGACTCCATACTTGACCATAGCCTGAAATTTTTGAACACATTTCGGACATGCGGTCTCACCCTCCACAATCCAACCTTTATCTCCTTGATTCCTAGCAAGAAACTTCTCCTGATCATTTTTCGTATTAAATTGTGTATAGATGCGGGATAAAAAATATGACGTTTGCGTCATGTTTAGGTTATGTGGCGAGATTGTACGAGGGTGCTGCAAATGACAAAGGGAAAGGTATCCTATATCTTACTTATAGAAGCCAACTCAACTACATCGCATTTATACATTTAAATATTGTATTAGTAGAGCACTGCGCACGGACGCCGTCTGGTGGAATGCGCATAGTCACATTAAGGTGCTTACGGTTTAAAATTTACGTTGCGATTTATGGGTTAAAACGGCCCAAAATCGTATCGGGTTGTTGAACATATAGAGACGGACAACAGAAAGCGTGCTTAACTCTTGTGTTCACAGAGAACAAACTTATATGAAGTACGACGACCCTTTAATAGATTGCGAGAGATGGATCCTACCGCGGTTTTCAGGTCTCTGAGCGCCTATGTGGTAAGTTCATTTCTACTCTGCACGTTCATCATCTTTTGCAGAATGACGCT